AAAGCCATACATACTCAGCTCACATACTTTATCTGTCTAAGAGCTAGGAACCGTTTCTCTGTCTAGGAGTCTGTTGATAAGATATCAAATCGATCGGAGAACGTGCATATGTAACCACGCCTTCTGGGTTTTTCTTGCCCTTTCGAAGGGTGGCATGGCAGATGAATTTGACTGAATTTCCAAGTGGCGGCGTGAAGCAAAGAAACATGCATTTGGTAAGACATTGTTTGCTATGAATNCTTTTAAAGGTAGAGAATGGAGCTACGTTATTGGTGGGAACATGGCAACGAGAAAAGCAAGAATAAATTAGTGGAATGAAAAGCGTCCGTTGATCCCTGTGGGATTTAGAGTGCCGGTTTAAAAGGTTATGATTTATACTCATTTTGAAGAATACAAAAATTTCTTTTAACTTAAATTGATTTATGAATTTTCATTCTTATACACCTTTAAAGATAGAACGAGGGATGTACATGAACATGTACAAGTATCAGTGACTGTGGTTTATTGCCTTCTTTTCCCTCATTATCATCTCACACTTAACCGCGGACGTTCATTTTTCATGAGAGCCTGTGTAGAAATGTATCTAGCTTCGCTCTAATCCAAAAATCTTGCCGTGCATGTTTAGCCCACTTTTAGGAAAAACATTTACTTAAAAGTGCTATGCTTTTTTTGTAATTTTTGTGGTTACACCGTTATTATTGAAAGGTGCTCAGCATATAAGAGTATTCCGTGCCTCATTGTTTATACTTGAAAAGAAAGTGCATAGCTATGAGACTTGTAAAGAGAGAAGTCACCAGGATCACTCCACCAAGCTTTAGCATGACAGCTTCGTTACAAAGATCGTCTCTGCAGCAATGTAGGATGCATTCATTTAGTACCAAAGCATTACAAGTTTCCTGATTGGAGCATTCATAACTGGTATCACATCCTTTTGCAAAAACTTCTCCGTTGCCTCTAGCATACAACTTTGCACAGTTGTCAAGGTTGGGCGAGCAAGTTCCCTTCGTTAGATTCTTTGCGCAATCTTCCCATGAGACTTGACTTGTGCATGAATAGCAATCCAAAGCACAACCTGACAGAAATGAATCATGTTACGTTTGAGTTCGTTGGACAGCACTAAGGGCAAGAGTACCATATAACCCCAACATTAACTATGCATTCAGACTAGTAGACTTTGTTTTTAAAGTTTTTTCGTGAAAGACAAAGAAGTGGAATGCATATAATTATGCATATAATTATAGGGTTATATGGTACTCTTTCCGCACTAAGTGAGATTAGAGGGTTGGGAAGTTGACTTATCTCACTCTGATCGAAAAAGTGACTTACAGAGGGTAATCAGAGTAAATGACAAAAATAGATGAATACAAGAAAGGGAGAAAGGAAAGATGGAAGGCGAACTAAAATTATAGGAAACTTTGTTTCAAACCTGATTATCCAAAGTTGTTAAACGTTTAAAATATCCAAGCACTGGCGCTCGGAAGGAATCGTGGATGGTATCACAAATAAGACGGATAGGCAAAGACGGTATTTGAATATTTTAGCCGAAAGAAACAACTACCAAGCTATTCATACAATCATAGCTGAGCACAACAGCATGTAGGTGACGTGAACTCATTCGACCACGTCGCTTGAAGAAGACGAGCAGTGTGCAGTCGAAACGTCAAAATCCACATTCCACTTGAGTGACCACATCGTAAGACAAACGACTAAATTTCTCTTTTGATAGTCTTATTTACCACGATGACAAACAAAAACTTCTCACACTGTTCGAGAGAATTATCCATTCCATCATACTTAGTCGTCATTTAACATGATTTAGTTTACTTTAATCAATCGTAATTTTATAGATTAAAATGCATGATAACAAACACTGTCTGCTGCTCATAGTGTGACAGGGAGGCGATAAAAGTCCTTCTAAGGACAGGTCTTTTACCGGCCCTTGCTCTAATTAATCATGTTCGACCTTGTTCCCTTGGCTCCGATTATACAGAATCAACTGCAAGTTAATTCTGCGGTGGGAAATTCAACGGAGGACGCTGCCTTTAAAGTAAGTTACTGAACACACAGGAGTTGTTCGCTCAGCGAGAAAACGCTGGGCTTTCTTCTATCGACGATTGTTGTGTGACTGTGGCTTTCACCTTAAATCAGATACAGGGATAAAATGTTGTTAGTTATGAACCTACCGGTGGAGACAACCAGCATTAAATAAGTCAGTAGAGTTCCCGGTAATACAAGATACATGTGTTGCGGCTATAGAAGGTACGTGGTAACGTTCACAAAGATGCCTTTAGATCGATAGCAGAGGACTCATTGGTGGCAAATATGTTAAACTTATGCGACAGCTAATCTTTTACACGTTAAATAGCTGATGCAGTTAGGGATGTTTTCTTTCTTGTCCACAACTTGCTATTCTGCGGTAAATAATTGAGACAGTTTGAGGCAAGAGTGGCAAAGGTCATCTCGCAATCTGGCGTGAAAGGAAAAATGGCTAATTTACAGCTTTTGTCTCCAATTTACAATAACACAATAGAAAGCAGTTTTTTATTCAAGTATGAAATGTCTTTATTCAAGCGTACAATACCACTTACACAAGGAGAATTCAGGCGGGGGTAAAAGACTCCAGTGATCAAAACTTTTAAGTTTCCATTCCGTATCCCCGGTAAACCTTGTCGTTGTTCTGAGTGACATTTCCCTTACCTCACCCTGAGAATTGTGATATTGTCAATATCTGGTCGTCAACGAATATTTTGAATCTCGCGCTCGGCTAAGCTTCGGTTCTCTCAAACCTTAATCTAGAAACAAAGCAAGGTAATCCAGTGAAGGTAATCCACTTTTGCCTACCAAAAATTGAACACAAAGTTTGATATGACGTTGGTTTCCGGCGCTGAACTTAAATACAAATAGTTTTACAACAGCTTACTTTAGATACTTTGCATTTCCCAAGCTCGTTAAATTTTCAGTTCGTGAAAACATTTGCTCGTGCAATAGCCTTCGACGATCACATGTTCTCGGTGATTTGTGATTTGTGATTTAAAGTCGAAAACGCATCAACACACGTTTCCTTTTAAATCACCTCTAGGAAACGAAAAATCTCTGCAATTACATCTGCAGGTCAACTAAGTGGCCAAACACATAGGACGACCTTTTTCTCCAACGAAACGAAGAACATAATCACAAGTTTCCGGTTCTTTATTCACGTGTTTCCGGTCTCTCAGTGTAACGCAACAACGAAAATGATTGTCTACCAGTTTCCGACATTCAAGACGAACGACCCCGAATTTTACACAGTGCCAACTCGCGAACAAGGCTTGTAATGGTTGCCGAATTTTCGAATACTCTTTTAATGCCGTAAATATGGAACTAGAAAATCTAACCACTTACCATCAGAAAATGTATAAGTAAAGAAATGATCCACGTAGGTGACGTGCAATCACTGAAATTGCAGCTGAGAGGCCTGAAATACTTAAGGCGTCGACAGGATTCGAACCCGTGCCCGCTGATTACTTTTGTTCGCAGCAGTACCTTGGTTAGAGCGCTGGACTGTTGTGCGGGAGGTCGAGGTCGATGGTTCGAGCCCCGGCCGGACCAACACTCAAGGTCTTAAAATAACTGAGGAGAATGCGCTACCTTTCTTTAACAAGAAATGGATAGACATTCTAGTCTTCTCGGATAAGGACGAATAAACCGTAGGTCCTGTCTCCTGCATCTAGTAATTAGTTAATTTGGTTAGGCAGGAGACGTTAAAGAACCACTCACGAGATTACTGTGATGTGGTCTGCCCTGTTTACTGGGAATAATTGGGGGCCGGGGGGCATCTTCAAATAAGTTTCCTTCGATTGTTTGTAAACTGCTGATGCAGTCTTGCCAAAGTCCCCCGAAAAGTGTTGTGATGCGCATTTGATAATATCCACATGTTAATTTGCGCAACATAAATATTAAGTTATTATTATTATTATTATTATCATTATTATTATTATTATTATTTAACTTCTCTGTTCTTTTCCGTTTACGTGAAATTGAATTATAACCACCCAAATATTGATGACTTAGAGGAAAATTTTTGTATTTCAGAAAAGGAGAGCCTACGTGTGTGTAATATTAATTATTCGAATAAATCTTTGCAATCTTGATCGAGAACCGGCTTTTCATACCCTCATCTATTTTCTTCCAGTTCATCGTGTATTTACTAAGTATTTCCTCACTGGCAGTCAAGTGGCAGTCAGCCTTCTATAGTTAACGTTCCCCCTATATACTCTGAAAGAGACGACTGATCCACCTCCGTTCGCCATAAAAACCTTGTGATCCTTCACCGTAATTATGAATAAAAGATGAATAAAAGATGAGTCAGTGAGACCCGTCTACGAAAAATTAACTTCTATGTGCTCAGCTCCTAACTAGACCTTGCCAAGCCTACAAGTTCCAATTACTACTTCGAAAGTTCACGCCAAGGGGATGAATAAATTAGTTGTTGAGAACAAAATCAATAAGGGGTAGAGAACAAAATTAGAAAAGCGACGTTGGTCTACATATCTCAGTTCCTTGATAAGCTTAACATGAATGATTTAATCTTAATGATGTGTCCTTTTTTCTCAACCAGTTTTGATAAAGCAGACAGAAATATAAAACATGAGAGAATTCATTGAACACACTTTTCCAGCATCATACTCAAATCTCGTCAAGTCTACCCTGCATTGCAGGAAATGTGGCGAAATCACTTTGTAACGATTCGATGCCCTGAAAGGTTTCAACAATCTCGAAACTGATACATTCATTTCAATTCTAGTGTCCATCGGATCACCTTTATATTTGGTATCATTAGCAGTTGATAACGGTTAATGAACAGCTAGTGTGAGTTTTGTTTCAGGCTTCAACAGTCCTTAGCAAGTGATCGGAGAGGCGTCGGGATGACTTGTCCAAAGCTCCGATAACTCCCGAGGATTAGCCTAAGGTGTGGGGTCCTATAGTGTAGAATTCTACGCCAGAGTTTATCAGGCGTGCATCTTGCCGTCAGCTTTTCGAACTAAGACTTGTATTTGCCTTTATAGTATTGGAACAGATGCAATTCGAGAAAGTGACCTCTTTGACTGATTCGATCAAAATAATAACTTGCGTTTGGCACCTTGGAACCTTCACACCATTTATATACGTGCTGTCTGCCGGGTTCAAGTGGCAAAACTTACTTTTATGTTTTATTCTTTTTACTCAGGTCTAATAAGAATGAACCCATTTTGTTGCATAAAGACCGTCAAAAGTGTTTCCATCTTCACCCGCATCTGTCCAGTCCTCTGGCATATTCTCTTCGTCACCATTCCAGGAGTGGGACTTTTAATGTTTCAAACATCACACGGAAGATCGAATGATCCAGGTGGGATCACGGCGTTTTTTGGAAAAACATTTGGGCGGCTGTTATCTTGTGGCTGGTTAGCAAGAAGCTACAATCATACGTCGGCGCGTCAACTGTCTTGTCTCTCCTCCTGACAACCTTAATCTCTATTCCCTTCTTTATCCCCATTTTGCTTATTTGGTTCTATGGAGATGGAAATGTCCCACTCATCTGTGTTCTTTTAGCCATTGGGATTGAGCTGATTATTTTGATCATGTGGATGCTGAAAAAGTGCATGGTATGGACACTGTTATCAATGCTCATTCTATTTCACAACAGTCATTACTGCTGTTAGGTCGTTCATTTGACACCAAGAATGGGCTTAAACCGTCAGCCGTCAAAAATGCAAGTCAATATCAACCGTCAAACGGTTTAAAGAATTTCTCTCTTGTAGTCGCTCCCCAACAACAGTTTAGATAAAAAAGAAGTCTTAGGATGGTGAAAGAGTCTCCAGATTTCAAAAAATGCTCAGTTTATCATAGTTTCCACTGATTTTCGCCTATAAAACCGGCAGTTTAAAAATATTGTTATATTTAACCTTACTATATTTTGATACTGAAAAATAGCCGACTTCATCGGTAACTTGTCTTTGAAAACGCCACAACGCAGCATTCATGTCGTTCGACTGACAAGATCACCACTGAAATCACGATGACATCAGAGCGAGTGTCCTGAAAGCTCTCGATAGTAAAACTTCTAATTGGAAGGTTTCGCCGGCATATTCATGAGTCCCTCAAGAGCAATGACGTTTCATCTTTGATTTATGTTTAAAATGTTAAAGGTAAGCGAAAGACTAAAGTCCCAAAAGAATCCAAAAAGTGCGAGAGATACTAACGTAACTATCGTATGAGAGTGAATCCTAAAAGTGCGCCAGATACTAACGTAACAGTCCGATGAGAGAGAATCCTAAAGTACACAAGATATTAAACGTAACTATCGAAAATCGTCAAAAACTTAATTGTCAACCGTCCGAGCAACCCACTCAACAAGACTCTCAATTAGATATTCGTTTTATGAAAATTCCGTCGCTTTTTGTTGTTGTTGTTGTTGTCGTTTTAAGAACAAATATTCAAGTCATGTGGCACTGTGTATAGACAGTTTGAACAATAAAGAAGGTCTCGACAGGTTAACGGTTAGCCGGTTAATAGGAAGTATTTTTCCTTTTATCTGCAGGTTTTATTATTTCCCGCCTCGTGTGGCCACAGAAAAGTCATTTTTACCGGAAGAAGTTCCGTTCCTCTTCGAGAGATCATTTTGACCGTCGACGAAGAAATTCCAACTGAACAAGATTTTCAGGAACTAAAAACTAACGCTTTACCCTATTTATCAGACGTTAAGAGTGCTCTGGAAAGGGGATGGAGGTCAACCACGGATTATTTTTTCGCAGGAAGCACAGTAGAGAGATTCGGCATTGCAATGATGATCTTGCAAGACGCTAGATGCTTCGGATTGGCACCCTTAGGCTCATTAGATGCCGACCTCGACGTGATGTTTTGCTGTTCGGGAGTAAAAGCTTCTTTTTCCGGTCAAGATGACTTACTTGTTGAGCCATATATCAGTGGAAGGGAAGGCTTCACGGGATATGCACAGCTTGTTTACTTCACTCCCAGCGTTGAGAAAGCATTTGTCAGTTCAACCCTTAACAGACAGCGGGCAAATAGTGCTGTTCAAAACATGCCCGTGGACAATCTAACCAGCGATACATGCTGTTTTGGCACAATCGACTCCGGCCCCAAGGTCAGCTTTAGCTCCAGAGGACCCACGATGAGGGTTCGTGTTGCTCCTCTTTTCGAAGCTGACTTTACCATCTGTATCCAGTGCTTTGAGTGGCCACCAAAAAGTGATTGGTCCTTTCGTCCAAGGTACTGGCCCTGTGCAACCGAAGTAAAGAGAATCATGTCACTTGGCTGCCATCTTGTGGCCAAACCAGCACCAAGCGACAAGAATAAAACAAGCTGGCGATTCTCGTTTTCCCTTACAGAAGTGGAGCTAACTAAAACGTGTCCCAGATACAGCGAGAAAATGTTTCTTGGCACTCAAAATTATCCTGAAAGACCATCTTCAACCCGTGGTGCCCGAACTTACTTCTTACCACATCAAAACTATTTTCTTGAATACTCTTGAAAAGGTACCAGTTGGTTTCTGGGCGGCGGACAACATAGAAGAATGTTTCCTAACATTACTAGCGGAGCTTCGAAATGCTTAATTGTTGAGGAATTGTCCCCATCACTGGTTTAGCTCCGTCAATTTGTTCGAATCGGAAGATTCGTGCTTTTGCATGACCACCATGAACTTGTTGCGGTTAGCTAAGAAAGTAGAAAGAATTATGCGCGACCCTGCTCCATTCATTTTTGATGATGGATGCTGTTGTCTTGCTGCGTCCTGCCGTCCGGTGCCACATCCTATGTTTACTCCACGAACCATCCATCAACTTTCTGCAGATTATAACGAGATCCCGTTTTCTGTCGATGGCCATGGAGACCCACCGGTTGGCGATCATGCTGGCCAATCATCTCCTGAATTCTCATCTCCAAGATTTGAGGCTCATCTTCACGACAAAAGTTTGTTTGAACAAGAGGAAGTACAAGTTATCACCTCTGAATCAGATGATTTTATGGAGCTAGGAGCCTGTTTGTACCCAACTGAAGCCGGAGACAAAGAGTTCTTTCTTTCCGTGTGGGACATTCATCTCCACTCAAAGATCATGTGATAGCGTTATTAGAACTGCTGTTCCAGACAGACTAGGCGGCAACTTTCTTTCAGATGTCTTCCCGTCAACCCTAATTGACGACACAACCAGCTTACAACACTTGATCAGGCTTGAAGAACATTATTTTTTAAAATTGCTATACCGGTTGAACACCTTTGAATCTATTCCAAGCTATTGTTTTATCTTCAGTTACTCTTCTTTCTTCACTTACTGGGTAGGTCGTTTAAAAAGGGTGTGAGTACTCTTGATTTCGGTTTTCTTCGAATGACATTACCGCAAAAAAACCGTTTAGTTCGCGATTTCCCTGAAACGGCTATTCACTCACATATATACTACGCAGAGAAAGTGAGTACTTCAGAACTAAGCTTGGAAAAACAACAATTTTTAAAAAGAAACGTGTGTTTTTGTGAAAAAAGGGACCTTAAGAAGGAGTCCCTCTAAAGGCGTTCCGATGCATTTCGGTTCAAAAAATCGATTCCTTTCAAACTTTGCCCATGAATCTGTCTTAATCTAAACCACCTTGGTTTCTAGAAATATTGCAGTATATTTTTTTTTCGAGCGAAAATCACTTCAGCACTCAATGGAATCTACTTTGCCTTTTCCACCCATAACCGTAACTATGCAACTTTTAATCTCGGCTCGCCTCAAAATTCCAATTTCTTGCCCGTGATATTTTTAGTCAGAGTAACTAAAATAAGGTAGAGGAAAATTGAAATTTAAAATTATGGAATCATGGATGCTGTCACGGATGAGATGGCAAGGCTGAAGGCGGCGGATGAAGCATTTATATATTTTAGCAGGTAGATAAAGTTACCAAACTTTTCGCCGTAGTGTAAAATTTAGCCAGTCGTTTTTGCTTCTGTCACACACTATTCGGGATAATTGTGTTTTGCATCAAGTTCATTCGTCACTTAAGTTTAGTTTATTTTAATCATCTGTCATAAGTTTAATTTTAAGTAATTTTGTATGAGATCCACGAGAACAAACTCAGTCGGCTGATTGAGCCCCAAGGAGGCGATATCGCCTTCAAAGTCCTTCTAAGAATAGACCTTTTACCGACCCTTGCCCTTAGTACCAGTCGACATGTTCAATCTTGTTCCTCAATTAGTTAGGATCAATTTGTTATGTATGTTAAAATTGATAGAAACGGTAGAAAAGTAGAATGAAGAAGTGGCGTATGAAATTACTGAACATACTGGATTAAATCACTCAGCGAGAAAATATTAGAAAACACTGGACTTTCTTCTATTGCTGTGTAGCTGTGGTTTTACACCAAGGGGATATCCCCATTTAATATATTGTTATGATACCCTCCCCATTGGCAGTTGACTGACAATCAGTGTTTTATAGTCCCCCTTAAAAACATGTGATACCCCAGGCGATTATATGTAGTGACTGTTTTTTCTGGCAGACATCTTATCTTTGGCGGAGCAGTTTAACTGATGTTTACTGTTAAGGGTAAGATCTTAAGGTATTCAGACCACTGGCGAGTCCCTGGTGGCTGCTCGGAATAGCATCAATTTGGGTGAAAGAACGAAGGTATGCGAAATGAAAATCTGTTGTTACAGTTTGATTATTTTTTGATGGAACATGATACAGCCTTGTTTCCATATCGTTCATACGATCATCGGGGAGGTAAAGAAGCTTCTGGTGTTCCTTTTAATCATAGGAAAACCATAGACTGATGTCACGTTTACGGATACGAACTCTAATCTTTTTTACTTATGTAACTCTTCCGTTTTTAGCACAAAGACACTAAGAAACTTTCAATGACTTTCTATTTAATTTGTTAGCGCGCTTTGTTTGATTTCTGTTCCGTGACTAGCGAATATCCGCTCAAAGCTAGCTACATA